AAACTTGAAATTTTGCATAAATTTTGATGCTTTTCTTACTTTTTGCGATTTAATTTCTGTGCTTTTTTTTTTTTTGCGAATAATTTAACCTTTGCTTTTTTTTTCCCTGCAAGTCTTTCCCTTGTTGAAATTATGTGAAGTTTTACAATATGCGCAAATGAAAATTCACTGTGTATTTTTGTTCGATCATTTATCTGCTTGTATTTTTTTTTTTTTTTTTGACAGATTTACTTTATTAATTTTTTTCTTTTATTTTTTCCAAAATACTTTTGCTATCGTTTTGTTCATAAAACGGCGGGAAAAAATTAGAATTTTGTCGTAATTAATTATTGATTGATTCCAATGAATTTAAATAAATGCAATAAAAGATTTTTCGTATTTTTGGATTGATAAAATTTCAATTTCTCGATTTTCATATTTTTGAAATTTTGTAGAAAAAAAAAGGAAAAGAATTTTTACTTTTTCGATACGACAAAGTTCTTCGTCTTTTTTTTTGTCCTTTTTTTTTTCATACCATTTTCATTACTTAAACTTAAATTTCTTTTAGATGATTTTGAGCGTCGATAGTGTAAAAGATGAAATTCGTCAATATGCGCCAGAAATTGATTGGCTTATTAATTCATTTGCTTATTTGGGTGGTGTACCAAAGAATAAAAATATTCCTGGAATTGAAGTGGACAATTTTCGAGGTTGTTTGAAAAAGGTATTTTATTTTCCAGTATTATTTTAACTCATTATAGATGAATTAATCGATAATGATTTTTCTTTTTTTTTTTTCTTCTTATAAATATATATATTTATTTGATATTTTCAGATTAAGTATGAAGCTGATGCACATTTGATTAATTTTATAACATTAGCTGATCAAGGATACGGACAATCGATTATAAGATCAATGGGCGATTTAACATTTTCATGCAGTAAACCTGGAACATATGCAGATGTATTTTCGTTCAACACTGGCCAACATTTCATTACATTACCCAAATGGAATTCTGTAGCCAGCGGCAGTTTGAGTAATTTCTAATCTAACTTATAATTTAATTTAAAATTATTACTGAGAAGATTGCGCTAATTTTATTTGAAATATTGTAAAAGGATTGAACAATCAATCAATCGATTTTAATTTTTCGAAAAATTGATTTAATTATTCGTCAATTAACGGTTTTCTTTTATCTGATATTGTAATTAATTTTATTTTAATTAAAAGTTTGAACGAAAAAAAATCACTATGGATCCATGATTTTTGGATATTTTTACTTTTATAATGCATTATATACATTGTGGTAATTTTCATAGTAATTTTTTCAGACATTTCAGGTTTTCAACTACGAACACGAGAACTTGATGGCCTTATACTCTATCATGGATCATTACCGACTGCAAAAACAGGACATGATTATTTTGCTTTTGAATTAATTGACGGTCATCTGTTTATGATCATTAATTTAGGATCAGGACATATTAGATTGCAGGTTATTAAAATTTTCCAAATATTTCAATTTACATTCACTATTAGCATTTCAAATTCCTTTCCAACTGACATAATATTTATTAATTTATTGCTGAAAATTACCAAATAATTAATTTAGTAAATTCGTTGAAAAAAAATTAAAATTTTAAAATTCCCATTGAATATTATTAAGGTTGCTAGGACAACAACCTATTTTTCTTTTTCTTTTTTTTTTAGACAACGGCAGAAAAAATAACAGATGGAGCAATATGGCATAGTGTGACACTTGAACGGTTGGGACGAACCGGTACAGTGATTGTTGATAATATTAAAACTGATTTTTCAACGCCCGGTGTGTCTGCTAATTTAATCATCGGTTATGCATATTCTAATTAATTAATTTACTTTTTTCTTCATTTCCTAACAAATTTAATCAAATAGCATTCAGATTTTCTCATTTTCATTTCCGGTAATTTTATAATTTAAAAATATCATTCCTGATAGCTTGAAATATGCATTTAATTTTATTGATTTTTCCGGATAATTGATAGTTATTTCTTGTTTTCTTTTATTTAATAATAAACGAAATTTTTGCGATAGATTTATACTTTACATTAGCAATTCAAATTTTATGATTTAGATAGGTTAAATATATGCGATAGATTACGTGAAATACGTATGATTTTATAGTTTTAAGCCGATAATCTCAATATATAATAAAGGCTTAGAGATTTTACTCCGGAAAAAGGATAAAATCCGGTTGATAAAAGTTATCTAATTACATAAAATGGTTTCCATCCCAAAATCTCTGCCAAAAGAAATTTCAAGTCATATTTTTTGACAGAAAATTACCATAAATATGAGTATTATATTCATTTCTAATTATAAATTATTTGCGACAATGAAATTATCAAGAAGAAAATGTCGGAATTCTTATGATTCTAATCTAATTTCATAAATGGAATAATGAACATTGTTTGTGTTATTGCTTTCACGATATTATTCATGGTTATAGAGGAACCAATCTATTTGGGTGCTGTACCATGGCCAAGTAATGAATCGGATACGGTTGATTTTTATTTACCTTATCCAGTTTGGACAGCAAATCTACGAAAGGGCTATATTGGTTGCTTGAAAGGTGTACGCATCAACGGTATCAGTCCAAACATTGCAAGCTTTTTTGAGGAGCAACAAAAGGATATTAAACAAGGTAAAGTAATATCAGAATTGTAGCTTTGATCACTTGTAGACTTCACTTCCATCTATCATATGGTTAATTCCTTATTGGTAGAATTCATTATCGTGGCGGAATTGTATGATATGCAAGTTCGAAATCTCACGTAATAACGGAATTGCGTGATATGCAAATTCGAAATCTCATATCATGGTGGACTTATGTGACATATAAGTTCAGAATCAATTATCTTTTATAGTCTGCCGCTTGTTATAAAAAAAGAGAAGAAAAAAGAGGCCAGTTTTGGGGAAAAATCTGTCAACATTGCTTTTATCTTTCTCAACTTATCCCTTTTCATTCATTCATAATATTTGCTGTCGCCTTCCTTCAGCATGTTGACATCTTCTTTCGTTCTTTGCTTGTTTATTGTCATAAAGTATTATAAATGAAAAGTTTAAACTTACTGAAGTTTTCTTTTTTCATCAAAATTTTTTAGCAAAAAGCGTCCAATGCATTTTATATTTGATTCTACAAGTATTCTTAAACTTGAACACTCTCTAATCGAACCACTGATTACTTCATATTAATTTTCTCTCCAAGGCTTTCCAAGACTTTTATTCATTCAATAGAACTTACCTAATTGAGATGGGTTTGAAATTTAGAAATTTTGAAAAGAAATAATCTTTCGCTCTTTCTTACTATTCTTTGAATAAAATTTAACAATGAAGTTTCTCATTTGTATTTGAATTTTTCGTTTAGTTCGTTGTCCTCACAGAGTACTGAAATTTTAAAATTTAAAATTTTGTATTGAGATTTTAAGATTTAAAATTTCAATAATATCTTCTACACACCTTCTACACATTTGTATATGTATATACATATACAGATATTTTGCATAACTTATTTTGAATATAAAACATTTTTAAACAACTTCAAATGCTGAATAACAGATTACATTTGCAATTTTTCTTTTCGAAAATGGAAGATTACAATTTAAATTTCATCATACTTCGAAATTTTTAAAAAACAAATCTTTTTAAATCTGCACTCATAAAGTTTAATAAAATGGAAGTTTACCTGTTCAATGTAAAGTTTATTTCCACAATAGTTTGATTTAGTACCGATGATAAATAATCTGTACCACATTCTATACCCTATTTCATAGTAAGGAACATAGTTAAAGTTATAAATTGAATAAAATATTCATTAAAGGAATTAGTTATGGATGTTCAAATAACATAAATCGGGATTTTTGCGCCTTATCACCGTGTGAAAATTTTGGACGATGTGAGAACGGTTATAACACTTTTCGATGTGATTGCTCAGTATCAGCTATGGAAGGATTACTTTGTGATAAAGGTTTTTATCATTTTCTCATTTACTTTTAATTTTTCATCAAACTTTTCCGTAATCATTTCTCAAATTTGTTTATTAACTTTAAATGAATTCGTAATTTCAGATTTAATATCGCCATTTTTTCAACATTGTTGTAATGATGTGCATTGTAAAATTACCCCAATTATTTCATTCATTTTAATGAAAGCAAAGTTGTGACAAATTTTAAGATCAAATAAATATGTCGCATAAGTGAAGAGTTAATAGATAAATATATTTTAAAAAATGCAAATTTTACAGAACCTGAATTCGTGGATTTTTCAACGGATAATGTACCATCGCTTCTACTCCCAAAATCCATTGAGAGTGAAGCGGAAACAATTGAATGCAAATTTCGAAGCGTTAATGAAAGAAGTGTTCTGCTGGATACGAAATCAGTAAAGTCACCTGATCATCGCATTTTACTTTTATTGATCAAGGGAGAACTTAATTTGCATCTCAATTTCGGGAATTCTCATCATGTAATTTATTGATTCCTTGAGTTATAATTTGTCTCATATGAATATTTGAATATTAGATTTTGAAATTCCAATGATTAAATTCAGGAGAAATCAAACATCAAAAATAGGACCAATAGTGAAGAGATGGTGGATAAAAGTAAGGGTTTTGTGAGTTTGAACTCCTGTTTAATTGAATTTCAGTCTATCTCATATTTTGGCTCTTCTTTTTTGTAGCATTAACAAAATTAATTAATTTCGAGTTCTAATTGTTAAAGGGACCCTTTTTAAATTAAAATTTTTTGATTGATGGAAGAATAATGAAAACTTAATTTAATTTTCTCAACTGATTGTTTATTGTCAAATGATAAACTGTAATTTTTTCTTTAGCAGCCTAAGGCTTTCTTTCAATTTACACTCCTCTAAAACATTTCTCCTTCTCACCTTTCTTTCTTCAGGCTGATATTTTTTTCAAATTATTTATTTTATCGTTTCAAACATTTCATTTAAATATAAAAGGGTGAAAGGTTAAATAGTAGAAATATTGAAAATGGAAATTTTGATGTTATGAATAGCATTTCTTGAAGCACAATAGTTATTTCAACTAGGTCATAGGTTAATAATCAATTTTGAAATTTCAATTTATTTTAGCTATATCTGAACAATCAACAAAAAAAATATTGCAGGCATTCAATTGGGGTAGTAATTTAAATGATAATCGAATTCATTCAATGCGTATTAAACGACGTGGCGAGAAACTTTTGTTATTTATAGATGGCAAATGGGAACATAGCTGTATGTTTCACAAAATATTTTCAAATCACAATGTTTAGGAAATAAAAATTTCAATCTTTAAATTTTTTAAACTTTCTCAATAGTTCAAAGGTTGAACTTCACCTGTTGCATAACTATTGAATTCGTCATTTTTCACATATACATACTACAGTTTCCTTTCATGTTTGTCAGATTTCAATAATTGTTATAAAATGAATTAAATATTTGCTTTATGAAAGATCAAATGATAAGCTTGAATATTATCAATAACCAAAACAATATCATCTTTTAGCGCTTTCAGATTTTCTACCTTCTTCTAAGGTAGTATTGGATATTGATGAAATAGCTGCTGGACATTTGCTGCATTCAATCACATCATTACATTTTACTATTCCCACAAACAATACATTGATTGAGAAATTTCGAGGACAAATGATAAAAATGCTTTTCAATGATTATGATGTTCTGAAGAATGCAAAGCGAAGAAATCCTACTGATAGCTTATCAGTAAAAGCGAATAAATTACATGAACGATACAATACACGGAATAGGTATTTAAATGAATATTTGTTAATTAGTATTTGTTGTTTGTGATATTACCACATCGAAGACAACAAGCATCTTTTGAAAATCTTATATTCTCCATGGAATTTCTGAGGGATAGTTCCAGATTTGATAATGTCTCAGACATTTACACTTGTTATTACTATTATTACTATATTATTATTATTATTATTATTATTATTATTATTATTATTATTATTATT